GAACTCTGCTGTCAAAACATAATACTGAATTTAATCTTTGCTGCATCAGTCAATATTTTTATATTAACATGGAATAAATTCCTTTGAGTAGTATGAACAGGGTTGCTCATAGTGACAAACCCATTGAGAATCATCACCCGACTCTGCCAAGAAAATCATTGTTTTGGTTTAACAGTCCGCAGCTTTAATGTTTTGGTTCGGATCGAGAGAGGCAAAATAGGCAAAAAGCTCTGGGTGCAGACAACATGGAGGGAAATTAAACATTCTTCATTTGCATACACTACCCACATTGTCATAACACAAAGCTGGTTGAAACTTTTGCCTTTTAACGGGGTAGCTATATTGTTTACCAAAGGTCTAAAATCCATCTTCATAGTATTATAAACCATTGGACTCTGTTTCAGCATCTAATAAACCTTTAAACTCATGAATCCATTACTAAAACTGGCCTTCCTGGATCGCATCATCTCACCGGTTCTTGAAACAACACCCCTCCACGAACGCAGCCCTGGTTTTGAGTCTGAATGCCCAGTAAAACATCCCCACCAAGCCCCACCTTTGGTTGTGTTAGAAAGAGGGATTGAGACAAAGAAAAAGACAGAATTAGAGAATGAGATACAGAAAAAGCAAAAGCATTATTCAGTCTCATCATTAAAACAATGGGGTTAAAGGCTTAACCGTTATCGAATCCCCAGTGGGTGATAAATGTGCCTTCGCTTTTGAACAGAGTAGGACCCTTGCTGATAAAGACAACCAGCGGCAAGAAAGAGAGAAAGTGTGAGAGATGGAGAAGGACAGACGGAGAGACTATGCAGAGCAGCACACGGCTTATCTTCGCCTCTAATTAGCTACTGTATGTACAACTCTACAGCCACTAGCAATGTTGGGAATTCCAATGAATTTCTCAGCTGCACTCTCGTTTTTGTTTTTCCCCAAACATAAACAGGATTTGGAGACAGCATGGAAGTGTGTATCTGTGCGCGCGTTCATTCGTCCTTGTTTTTACAGTGTACACGTGTGCTGACGGTATCCTGAATGTAGGATAAAAACCTTGGAGGAGGAGGAGGGCGAAGGAATCTAATTACTGTACTACCATCTATGAGGAGAGGAGATGCTGAGAGCACTGCTGGGATTTCTGCAACTCCACTTGCCTCTCGGAAAGAAGACACCGGTTCCCAGCGACGGGAGTTTCAACTTTCTCTTAAAAGAATTTGGATGTGCGGAAAAACCTGAAAAATTCAACATCCTCAACAAGCAAGCAACCTACAATTTTTGCACGTCTTTCTTCCTCGGCATACAGTGACTAAATGGTGGCTGAGTTGCATTTATCCACTGGAAAACTGGCATAGGTAATGGCAATAAAGCCAGGGAGAGCATATTTACTATGATTATGGGTATGACAGTGATGAGGCAGCATAGAAGCAACCATAATAAGAGTACAGAAGTTCCTCCAGGGTTTTAAGGGCTTACCAACAAACTGACTGTACTCACTTAACAGTCATCTACCAAGTAGTATACCACAAATGAAGTGAAAACAAGTTGTCTTGTTTTGTTTACGGGGTTGTCATAACAGCAAAGCAACCCATAAATCAGACTTATTTGTGCATTTGAAACATGTCCTTTTCTAATCAGGGGCTTGGTATGATCTCAAAAGATATTAAACACAGGATGCAAGCGCACAATTAAAGGCAAGATTTAATATCAACCAAATCACTGTCAAATCAGACATCATAGTAATTGCTTGTGCAATTAAAAAGGGATTGCACGATACTTTACTTGCCCGAGAGGGGGTCATCACACAGAGACAGTGTATCATTAATATGAGTTGGATCGCAGTCAACAGTTCCCAGGGTGGAACCACTCGCTCTGATGAGCCACGGGAAGACTAATTGGTGTCGCACCTTTCCCCATGCACGGCTGTGCTGCTGAGATAACATATAGATTCTTATTGTAGAATATATCATGCATAGAAAAACGCACCGTTGCATAGCGATTTATATGCAAAATGTATTACGCACACACAAAAACGTACAAAATAAACAGTCATGCACACACAATAACTCAAATATCCTATGAGAAGAAGTAGAGAGAGAAATGAAAAATACCTCAGTGAGGAAAAATCAATTAAATGTATTTCTTTGTCTGCAGGGGACTACATTCTCCATTTCCATCATGTGTCCCCGGAGAGGTGGTGGTGTGGGGGGGGCTGCAGAGACCCAACAGCAGTAGTTACAACCTCTCAAGTGCTGAGCCAAATCCCCAGCTGCTGTAAGTCAACTGACACCACAAAAAGACACCTTGGGAGTGGTCTGAGAACTAGCAGTGTGCGCTTACTTATGAGGATTGATTTGATGCCAAAGACACATTTGTATAATATCTAGTGATTCCATACACTTTCTGTAAAATTACAAAATTACAATTATTAGACAAAGAATGAGGAAAGCCATCCAATTTTACCTCTTTGTTCTTGCCAGACTGCTGTTCCACTTTGCTAAAAAAAACCGCCAATAAGAACTTTGAGAAGAATATCCTTTAAGAGTGTTTGAATAACGTCAAGAATCACTCTTAGGATGTCATACAGAGCTTTCCAGGGTTTCATTAAGGGATCTTCTTTTTACACAATAAAACATGCAATCCTTCAACTGTAAACTGGCTGCACAGACATAGATAGAGTGCTTACTTTAATGTAAATCTCAGTGGGGAAAAAAAATCACATGACTGCTGCTTTGTGCCAATGCTCAACTGTTCCTGAATGGACGTGTGTGTGTGTGTGTGTGTGTGTGTGTGTGTGTGTGTGTGTGTGTGTGTGTATGTGTGAGAGAGGTTAATGATGCTGCCCTTTACTGTAATGACAGTAATGATCTCCAGAGTACAAGAGCACATCTGGATCACAGGGTGAAGCGGTGAGGACAGACCAACATGGGACGGAGATGATGCATGAATAACGCAATTTAAAGAGGGGGAAAAAATTACCATAGCCAATCCAGCCAATGTCCAGAAGAAACATAATTTACCACGGATGAGAGAGAACACAGCCCGCACAGACAGGAAGACAAACAGCACACTTTCCCTGGCGCTCTTTTGTTCTTCAATATGCAGTAAATAACAGTTTTTGGCAATTTCTCGCTTGTTTCTATTATTTTCTCCTCTAAAAAGACTGCAGTCTGTCCATTGGGATATTTTTACCAGGCGATACCTTGCCCTGCAGGAAACTTCATGCACGTTCCTACAATGCCTTCATTTTGTGGCTCACATATAAGCAGGCAAATCTGTGTTCTGGTACTGGTAATAAGGTATCTTCTTTTTTTTTTTTTATGCAACATGGGTACATTATGTAAAAATATATAACCCTTTTGTTAATATTTATGATGAAGCTGATAATGCATTAGCGTAGACAATTTACATTACAATATAGCAATTCTATGATTTTTAGATGTTAAAATACCCACATAATTCATACTTATCTTTCAGATGTAATTTTAAACTTCAGGCTTTTCCTCACTCTTTATTGATTTCCTATGATCTGAATGACTATGAATCTTTCTAAACATGACAAAATGAAGGTTAACTTCACAGTAACATTGGAATTCTCCATCTGGGCAATATAAAATACAGACATTTCTAGATAAATTCACAAGACAGAGCTTGACATTTTGCCCGGGCCCATTGTTATGTATGGAACAGGATTGGACAGAGGGTGCATGAATGTGATGAGTAAAATATGACTGCTTGTAGATAAATCACAGGCAGCATAAAATCACATCCCTTCTCTTCAGTAATCAGAAGTGTTCCATATATTGTACACGTATAAACCTAAATGTATGTGCATACCAGCATGATAATAACATCTACTGTTCTCAGCACATATTTGTCATCAATTATTAATAACAATGCACAGTACATGTATGTATATAGTTCACAGAGAACATGCCCAGTATGTAGTCTGAATTTATAATTGCCGGCAAGACACGTGTGAACAAGAGTGTAGATGAGAAAGGTTCACTTGTGCATAACATGTTCTGCACATACAGTAATACCCTCCTTTCCTGCATATAAAAAGCCTGTATGGATTGCCCTTTAAATCTTTAACCAGTGTTCCCTTAGAGGAGCAATCAATTATGAGAGAGAAGGTTCATCAGACCAAAACAGGCCAACATGGTTAAATACATGCTGGTATAATGGTTGGATAATGAAATTAATACCATCCCCCGCCAGTCACCTTGATGCATGATTGAGAAGCACAGCACAAGTCCGTATGAGCGGTCCTGTCAATCAGTTGTGCTGAAATGGCCAGATAGTGTGTGTGTGTGTGTGTGTGTGTGTGTGTGTGTGTGTGTGTGTGTGTGTGTGTGTGTTTTGAGTCACTGCTTTCTTTAAGACGTATTGTCCTTGTGAGAGTTTCCCTGCCCGATACCCTTGTATCAGACTCTTATAAGCCGACAACAATGGATTTTGATTATGGAATTATTCTTCTTATAGGGAGTGAATTAATTAATTGATTCAATTACGCCTTTGTCGTGTGTGTGTGGCTGTGTGTGCAAGGAGCTGCTCCTGTGGTTCTGGCTAATGGCATATTAATCCTCTGGGTTGGGATCTTAACTGTGCTTAAGTTAGATATGCTAGAAATGAACAGGTTTAATAGGAATATTGGCTAAGAAGTATTAAGACAAGTAATTTAAGACCATTTCACAAGTGGCCTAAATCCATCATTACAGAACATACTGATGATATTTTAGGGTTTTTTGCAACAGGAAGCGGCTTAACAATAAAAGTTTATCTCTTTTGTGACTCAAAGTTAGAACTCATAAAAACATACATACACAAATCTGGATTGACAAGACGTAGTAGTTAGAAGAGACAACACGTACTGTACATCATGTTAAAGTGCCCTTGAACAAAACACTGGACACAAACCAGGTCAGTCACTTTAAGTTGGTCTGCATACAAACAGTAAACTTGAGAGGGAAAAGTGCATAATGTGTGCCTCCCTGTTCTCTTACCTGCCTTCTTGAACCTGTCCAGCAGGTTTTGTCTGACTCCCCTTTGCAGGTTGAAGTAGTCATCCTCCTCATCGGGGGTCTTTAGGTACAGAGGAATGTGCTGGAACACCAGGACGTGTTTGGGTTTGGGTTCCTGAACAGAGATATATGAGCGATGGAGTCATGATCACCAACCTCCCATGACAAAATTCAATTTATGTGTCAAATGGCTGCAGACGGCAGCAATTGTCCAAACTTCCACACACAGCAAAGGAAGACATTATCTTGCTGAAACGTGTTCATAAATCAGACAAAAATAGAATCATGTCATAGATGCTATTCTACCGTTGAGGAGGAGGCTCTGCTCAGCTGCTCCTCCAGCCACGTCTCCTGGGCCTCCTTCAGCTGAGGGCAGGCCGAGGCATCATAGAACAATTGGGAGTTCAGAACCAGGCAGAAGACTCCACCCACCTGAGACAACAGTAGAAACAGGAGACAGAGTGATGTGCTAGATGTTAGTTATCTACACATCATTCATTTAATAACAACAATTTAAAAAAAGGATTATTTTTATACCATACCATATATAGTGTATGTCTATATTCCCTACATTTATTCTTTTTTCTTATAGTAATTCCTTTAAGTTGTACAGCTGCAAAAACCTTACCAAAATACCAAACACACATACCAAAATAATCAACATAACTGCAACATAATGCCTGGTGTGTGTAGGTCACTTGGTCATTTGCTTTGCACAAACCCTCTGCGCAAGGCAAGCAGCATTTGGTGCCCAGGGCCCATGGTCATAATAAGCCGTCCACACTACAGCCACTACTACTTTCTATGCCAATACTACAGCAACTACTACTACTTCTACTACAAAAATGTAGGTGTCTGCTCACCCAGAAACTGAAATAGTCATTCCCCCAAGCGCTGCAATACTGCTCCACTGTCCTGGGGGTGGGAGTGTTGCCCAGATCATGGTTCCCGCTGACAAATACCAGTGGGATGGAGGGATCTGTCCCCTTCAAGGCTGCCTTCAGGTCTCGCTCCTGACCTTGCCTGAATGGAGTGTCTGGGGGGGAAAACAAGGGAACTATCTGTCACAGTATGAAAGATGGCTCTGTGTCCTTGTGATAAATTAGGTGGTGGTTACAGACGTCCGCATAGAAAGACAAAACAATACTGGCTTGGATCAGAAAATCAATGCTTGATTATTATTGATAATGACATCTTACCTGGACTAAAATGAGTCAGACAGAGAAATGTATATGACTGTTGATGAAAACTGTCAGATTGAGAGTGTGAAGGGTACTACAGGCGAGTGTCGCCTAAGGGAAGGGGGATTATTTGGATGATAATGATGACAGCTCAGAGAATGATCAATGCTCTGTACAGCTCGACTTCATATCACCATGGTTACTGACACGATGAGTAGTGTTCTGGTGGAAGCCTCCCCGGTCCACGAGGCAAACCCAACCTTTTCTGCTGAGCCGAGCGCCGGCCACATCTTGTCACAATCACTGGTCCAAGATGCATGAGACTATTGGTTTTACAAGATCTTTACAATGTGTTCATTTGTTTGTTGTGTTAAAATCAGTAGTACTGTGCTATTAAGCCGGAAGTTCAGTGAAAGGAGAGGCGTACAAAAAGGAGGGAAATGTTTTGAGCTAAATGATTCAGTCCCAGCCTAGGTAATGGGCAGAGAATGTGTGAGACTCAGATCTATTTATAATTCAGGATGTATATTAAACAAACCTATCAGACACTGCTCTTAAGTTATCCCTTCCTCTCCATCGTCTCCTCTCTTATTTCTTTTCCCTCTTTATTCATCTGAGTAATTATTTTACTGGCCTACTTTTGGAGCAAACGTTTCCTTGGATATTTGGATAGGACTCATTATATAAGAGCCTTTTTCTGAGAGAACATCTTGTGCACGACAGAGTGAGAGAGTGTAGAGTTTAAAACACGACCAGATAAAAGGTAAATGTCGTTTTCACCTGTCTTTCTTCTATCATTAAGCTAGCCTGTCAGACTTCAAATTGTCAATACAACTCACAAACATGCACTCAAAATACAAAGAGAGACACAAAGGCTCTTTTTGTTATGTAAAACAGATTCTGTGTGACACCATATTACTGCAAGTCTTTCATGGAGAGTAACTACTTCTGTGTAATTATATGCAGTGTAATAATTTCCTCATGAATAACAGGTAGTATTTGTACAAGAAAAAGATTAGTACTATAAAATGTTCACTGCAGTCGACAGTGTCAAGTATTGCATCTAATTAGCTAGTCTAACATTAGCTGATGACACCTGAGAGTAAATCTTGTTAATAAATAGTTAAGCTGCCAGTGCAGCTCTAGCAAGTCTAATCTAATGGTCAATATGTGGGGCATAAAATACTGGGGCATGAAATATGTAAGCAATAACTTACAAAAACAGGACACCTTGGAGTGTGGTAATACATTTACGCAATGGCTGCCTAGTATTTTGTGCACAAAAACATTACAAAATCCAAACCACAAAAGTCCCTAAAATGCATTTTGAGCATGCTAGTGGAACATCATGAAGGATTTACAGTAATGGCAATGATACATGTAATATTCGTAACAAATTAATTTACTTCATTTTGTTCTAAGAAACAAATTCTGCGCCATGAAAAGTGAAACTCTCTCACTGTATCAACATCAATAAATAGATAAGTGGTTTGAGAAATGGTTTCAAGAGGGCGATGTGCAGTGCAGCAAAAAAAACTGAACATCTAGTTTGGTCTCTGGTGAGCTGACAGTTTGAAGCAGAGTCTTGATGAAAACGCTGACAGCTGAGGCCACAACAATGTGGACTCATTATTCCACAATCACAATATTTGACCGCTGCCACAATGATATACAAACAAAGGCAGCCGCACTAATGAAGCTGGGATGGAGAGTAGGGGGCGCGAAGGTTGTCATTTGAAATGCTGAGGCAATTGTTGCAGCTGGTAGCTCACACATAACCCTGTTGTTAGAGACAATGGGATCTTAACAATCTATTCACAAGTGGAGAATGTTTTTTGGGTTATTTCTAGAAGGTAAGTTTCTCCAAGTATTCAAAAACCACCATCATTGTTCCCTTTAGCAAGGCACCTGACCTTGTCAACCGCTCCAGTGGAGCTGGTCGGTAAAAAAAAAAAAAAAGTTTTTATGCTTGACACCATCCGAGTGTGAATGTGTGTAATCGAGTGAGTGTGAAGCAAGGTGGGGCTTAACGAGAACATGTACCTGCACTTTACTCTCTTTGGATAAATGAATGTGAAAAAAATGGCACCAGTAGCCAAACACAGTGGCGGGGACACTGCGCTGCCTTCTGCTCCCTCACACCTCCAGCTGCCTGCCCTCAACTACAACCATCCGCTAATGTGGCAATATCCATGAATCATCCCTCAGCACTGCACAGCGCAAACTAATCCTCATACAGTACCCCATCAATCTACATTTGAGACCCCTTGCTTTAGATTAATGGGGAGTGGCTATGGGCATGACTCCATTAAGGCAGCAGACAGTTTAACATTCGTAGATTTGTTTACATATGTCCTGCTGCAGTTGGAATGTCTGGACTGCTTATTCACTGTAAAATATAATTCCTACTTCTGGTTACATCTGTCAGTTAACATGTCCTCCTTCACTTCTCCTTAATCACTGGTAATAGTGCCATACAACACTGTGCAAATGACTACTTGCTTGGCAGAGGGTAGGATACAAGGGGGAGTAGAGGATTTGTGAACCAATTTCCATAAAGTAGGTCAAGATTATGCCAAAAAGAGTACTAAAGATGGCTGCAGATAGGTTCATTTCCTAAATAAGTATTATCACTCACGCACAATCAGCAAATAATGAAGAGTCGTGAAACATTTTATGAAAACTGCTAGGGCTGGGTATTGTTAAGAACCTCACGATTCGATTTGATTTTGATTCTTTAGGTCACAATGTGATTCGATATCGATTCAATTCGATATTGATTTTAAATGCTTCGACAGCGATTCAGTAATAAGTAAATTACAGCTTGGGGACGGCGACTTCCGCCATGTGTTTGCGTGTTGGTATGGTGTATCGTAGTTCCAATGTGTATACCATCTTCTTAAAACCCCCGTTTTCCACGACACTGTTGGGTCGTAGGTCCTTACATATGAAGACTGCCACAGACTCCGTTGTCTTCTGTGCGCGGGCAGAGTTTGGCGGCAGTTTGCAAAGGAAGGATCTGTCGAGTTGCATCTGTTTTGAATCCACAGGTTTAGCTGCGGGTTGCTGCAGAGCATCTGCATGGTGTCGGCTTAAGTGGTTGCACAAATTTGTTGTGTTATTGCAGTATATTAGTACTGCCTGGCACAGCTTACACACTACCTTACTTTGGTCTATTTCCTGTGTTCCGGGTTTACACTGGAATATAAAATGATTCCAAACGTCTGCTTTTAAAGTTGAAGGCGCTGGTTTAACACTGCTGCTACCAGGGGCTTAAATCAATTCAGAGGATTTAATGAATCGATATTGAATTGGGAAAAAATATATTGCAATGCATTGATGAATCGATATTTTTACCCACCCCTAAAAACTACATTTTATTCAAACATCTTCTCACCCTGCTTTCCTCTTTTGGAAAAAGCAATATATGTACTGAGTAGGGTATATAGAAATAAAAACACAAGGCTGCTCTCTGCTCTCTCTGGAGCTCTGACTGAAAGGCTTTGTTCATTTAATGAGATTGCAACACTGTGATTCTCAAACCTTGACAGGAGACTTTGGCAGGTTCTCGTTGAGCCTGTCCAACACTATAAGCACTTCCTCAATTTCCTCTGAAGACTGGCTGTCGAGACTGCACGTAGGCCTCAGTGCGTGGGGTCTTACTGTCGCATACATTTTTCTGCATTTAAACAACTTTCAATGAGTGGGGACCTCTACATTTGTGACTAACTCGAGCATGTACTGGCACTGACAGGTCGTGCTGATGTGGCAATGGCCTACAGTTTCTGACAAGGTGGTAGCTAGGATGAAGTCATATTAAATGTATCCTACAAGCTTTCACACACACAACCTAGCTACGTTACAGTATGCTGGATCAATTATTTGAGCGATTAAATTAAAATACTATGAACTAAACTGTCATTATAGAACTAGAGATTTCCCGAGCTGATCTTAAGTAACGGTACCGGAGTGATCCTGGGATATTTTAAAGAATCGTATTGGCTAAAATAAAGCCAGTCAAAATCTGAACCTGTCCTTACTGTTTTGCCCACATACTAGTTTAACGGTGCGGCTCTCCTTTACAACAGCTGGCTCCACAGTGCAGCATTTAGTTGGTGGTAACAGAATCTTCCGCAGGCAGGTATTAGCGGTTGTTAAATAAGGTTTATTCCATGAGTAACAGACCTAATTTAAACTTGTCTGGTTAAAGTGCTCTCTCTCTTCAGTGTCTGCTCGGCCAAAGATCTTGCGTGAGTGAAAAGGCTCCACTCTGTAACACCACACAAGTGAACTGAACATTGTCTGTAGTCTCTAGACTTCCAATGGAGTGATACGTCTTCTCTCTAGTGGATCATATCATGTCAGTTTCAAGAGTCGCATTCTCCCAGTTAATCTTTCATTCTTTTGAACCAGGAGCTTCAGTATTCGTATCAAGTAGCTTGTAAGAATAAGGTGTGCCAAATTTTGTGGTCTCCAGCTGTTATTTCAATGTGTATCGGATATGACTCAGACAACCAATGTTAAAGGACTCAAAACAGGATTGGGGTATAAAACTTTTTTTTTTTAAACTTTATCACTCAAAACCTCATCAGTGTCACCTATGGTCATGAGATTTGGGTAATGACTGAAAGAGTGGAGCTACTTCACGTCTAGACCATCTCTCCTTCAAGACTTTCATGTACTTGTAGGTTGTTTACATGAAAAATGGCAGAAGTAGTTATGTAAAAATCTGAAAATAGAGATTCAAACCCTGGCAAATGTTTCACCTCCAAACACCTGGCTAATACTGCATGAAGTGGGTGTGAATGTTGGATAGTCTGTTTTGGAAAATTACAGAAACTGTTAGTTTGCAATT